TCATTATATCGGGTACATGCGTCCAACTTAACAAATGATGCCTCCTGACACCCACATCATGTTTTCTTCATCAAAACACCGCTGTTAGACACAATACTATACATAATCTAATTTTATGTTTCTTTTCTCTCATATATAAAAAGGAGGTCGGAGGGACTCACAGAGGATCTCTCTCTCACTCTCTCTCATGACCAGGTCTTTTCTTCAAGTCATTCCCAACTTTCAGAAGATCCCGACAAAATAAGGCATGAGAAAAACGAGCTTATTTTATCAATTTATCCATTATCTTCTTCCATACATTTCTCTTTAAAATAAGATCTTTATTGGATTTTACAAACTCACAAATAATATGGAACACTAATTCTTAAAAGGATTCATCACATTATTTCACCAACGTGGTTTTTACATAGAAGCAAACTAACTTCTCATAAGCAAGCTAAGCTTTAACTTCTTTTTTATTTTAAGAAGATTATTTTCTAGACTTGATGACGATCCTCTATCAGTGGATTTTGAGTTCTTCACACATGACAACATTAGACAACATGACCAATACAAAAAGAAGTATTTTTATTATACTAAATTTATTTCTAAATCCCTCATATTATAAGAAGTATTAAAATGGGAAATTATAATTATTAATCTTTTTCTCTTTTATTATTTTGGATTGAATATAGTGGCTTCATAATATAATTATCATTTTAATTAAAATATGCATACTGCTTTAAAAAACAAGAAATGAAGCCAAATAAGATACAAATTATAGAAACATAAAGATGAACAATTTCACCACACATTCTATACAAAACAAGGGTGATAGGATACATGATTTCTTAATTATTTTGTTAGGTTAAGTAGTGTAATTAGTTACAAGATTGGAACTCTTGTATTATATAAATAGCTCCTATTGTAAATATTGAGAGGAATGGAATGAAAAGGCAGTTGGTACTCAAGTTAATTATCTATTTCATGTAGTGTTAAACCTTGTATGAGAGTTTTCGATAACCTCTAAATTGTCGTTTATCAATATCTTAGAAGCGAGATTTGTTATGGTGTGGAACTTGAAGCAATCATAGCAGTCAACCACACACAACAACTGGATATTTCTTGAGCGGTGCACTCGTGCCTATAGACCGAGGGGCCGACGTACCAGCACACATAAGGGGTGCAACCACACTTGCATATGCAATGCCCCTGTACCCTATTTTGGGCGTCTAGGTGCTCAGCTACAAAGTGTGCAAAATACCAGTGCCTAGGAGTGGCGTGAATGCACCAATTAGGGTCCTCGGTTCATTTTTTTTATATTAGATATTTTAGGCGATAACAGAATGTATCTTTGCACGTGTGTTTCTTTGACAAGATTTTTGTGAAGTAAAGAAGGGTGGAAGATGAAGATTTCATCATGTGTTTTTCTAGTGAGATTGAGATGAAGATTTGGAGTGAAGTTTCGTAAATTTCATTGCTTGTAAAGAGGAGATATGATTGAGTATTTCTAATTAGATTGAAGGCTGATTAAAAGTTTATTCACATTATCTCCCAATAGGGTTCACATCAAAAGGTAACACTAGAGAGAGCAAGTGAATCTAATACTACAACAAAAAGAGATACAAGAATATTGTTTTGTAACAAAACTAATAAAATTGCCACAAATAAAAACATTTACTTTAGTGATTACAACAGTTATTTCACTACTATAACATTAAAGTGGTTATTACGCCTCTTATATAAATTAATAATATATTTTATGCTTATTCAATTGCAACCAAAGAGTCTTACATTTGTACTCTCTCTTTTTGAAACAAGATTTGGGAGGTCTGAAATTTGAAGTAGAGGGCAACACGATTGTAGCTATAATAATTATCAAAGAATACATATTTGCAAATATTCATATAAGCAAGTTATGTTATTCCCATCACCATAGAAACTCATTATTTGAAGTACTCTAAGAAATTTAGCAAGAGAATTAACAAACAACTATTGATATTTTTTATGAAGATTTATATATATACCATTTAATTCTTTTGTATTTATATATTTAACATTTAAACTTCATGTTTTACAAATGTTTCACCTTACTTGTACATGAAATGTGTGTATTTCACTTTTCAGAAGTTACAATAGTGATATCTTTAATGTAATATGAAAGACTTGGTTGTCATAAATGTCAAAAGTAAAGTTTAGTTGTTGGGTTTGTAAATATATGAATTGGGTGCTATGTATATACATGCCCATTTTTTTATTCACTACAACAAACTTAAAGAGAGCAATCACCGCTCATTATAGATATATGAAAATGAAGTGATATTATATATAAGAACACACAAATATGTGAACACATAAGAGCATGAGTATGAATTCAAACATTATATAAACATATCATAATCAAGCTAATATCAAACCAAACACTATGAAAAAAGGTTGTGTTCATGTTTAGCACATTAGGAATATAAAATTATAAAATTGGTTGACCGTAACTAGTTATCAAGCGGAACACAATCAAGCTTTTGACCGCCTTATAATGACTAATTGGAATCATATTTTGGGCCATTTACATGCATACCACTCGTGAAGTGACATACATGCTACCCAATTCCTAAGTGCTTTCATATCTAAGACCTAAAATTTAGTTGTTTATAGTGATACCACTAATATTTTTCATATCACATCAAATATATCACTATTTCAACTTATAAATAGTGAAATGTGCCTTGGCATACACATGTAAGATGACATGTATGTAAAAATTGAAGCTTTGGTATTAGATATGTAAATATATAGGAATGCAATATGTATGTATGCAAATCTTCTCAGTATTTTTAGGATTTACTTTTTGTTTTTTTTTAGATATGTAAATACATAGCTCTCAATAGACTTAGATATAAGGCAATTTATATTAAAAAAAAATAATGTGATATATTAATATCAGCACATTTTGCAATGACATCTAGAGCAGATTTGAGTAATTTGGTGAAGATAATATGTTTCCTTCGAAAAACTCATGGGTGATAGGGCTTCCCATATTAGCTAAGTTCATGCAATGGATCATCTTGCCATTGAAGGCCTCGGGGCCTTTAGTCCCAGAGAAGCTAGCTAGGGATATTAGGGAGGCTACAAAATCTTCCCAAGCAAAGGATCACTAAGTCCATTTCTTGCTTCTATCATAGTGAAAATAATGTCAGCACATTTTGAAATGACAAAATTGGATGCGAAGATCAAGATGATAAAATTAATCAAAATTGATAACAATGTATGAATACCATGGATGGTGGAATCAGGTTATGCTCAGAGTGAACAATTAGCCCCCTAGAATTTAAAACTTCTCCCCACTCTTTATATCTTTTTGTTAAATAGAAATGATACATTTAGTTATTTTTCCCACTCTAAAAAATAATACTGATTCCACCCTTAAATTGAGCATATAAATAAAAGAAGATATAATGATCCAAGACCTCAACTGAAGGTTTTTTTTTTACTTTTTAGTGATTGTACTTTTTTTCTTTTCTACATAATTGCATGATATTTATTAATGGTTCTATAGTTTGCTTGCTCTCAAGATAATCTCAGAAGTAATTTATAATCTCTTGATAGGTACTTAGTTATGATTAATTTGTCTTTAGGTGTTATTTCATTACAATTTTCAGAACTATAAAGGATTATCGATATGAATATTACCATATATTCAATTGATGGATAATTAGATGATCATAAATTACTATTAATCTTGTTGTGTCAAAAGTTTCATGGTAGTGGAGTAATAATTTAGTGTCATAGTTTTGCATGAAAATCCAACTCATACTCATGTAATGAAAGTGATAGATAGTGATATTAAAAGTTATTACATGGAAATACTTAAAAAGGGAAAAAATCAAGGGGTTTTACCCAATTGAAATAATCCATTTTGTAATAAGAAATACACATGCCCACTCTTCTCTTGAATTAAAGAAGATGGAATTACACTGTTGATATACAACGATAATTTAACAATAATAGTTGCAATAGGATGTGAATGCCATGGTCGAAAGATATGACAGTAATTGGCCATTTAGGTATTATGTGATAACTTCAATAGCATGAATTGACCCCAGAGACCATAATAGGGAATTTCAAGAGTTTTGAGCGACATAGTTCGTAGTTTGTCATGTAGATCATAGTAGTGAATTGCGCTAACGTATGTAAGCGACATGGGCTGAAGTTGAGAACTGCATGAGCTGAGAACCACATAAGCCATAGTTGGCCATGTAAGCTATAATGTTGAGTTATAATAAAGTTTGTAGGCCACAAAGACCACAATAGGATGTTGTGTGAGCTGTGAATCATGTAGATCATAATTGGTCACATAAGCCATAGTGTGGAGTTGTAATAACGTCTGTAGGCCGCATAGGTTAGAGCTGAGAGTTGCATGAGATGTTATAATGTTTTTAAGCTGCAGAAGTCATATTTAGGATCTGCATGAGTTGTGATAAGGTACATGTGTCGAATAAGTTAGAGTTGGTGGTTGCACGAGTTGTGATAATGCTCATAGGCCACAGTGGCCCGAGCTCGAAGTTGCATGAGCTTTGAACCATGCAGGCCATAGTGGCAAGCTATGTTGAGAAAGCTTTATGAGTCCATAGAAAGTAACTGTACCATGAGTATACAAGTTGTAAGCATTTATTGTGGTGTGTATTGTTACGTTGTTTTCGTGAGACATCATTGCATTATATGCATGCATTATTACGCTTTATTCGAGGTGTCGTTACATAGTCTTTGAGTGTGTTGCACCATTTACTCGGAGTTGGTACACTATTTTCATGATAATTGCTCCGCAGGATGCTTCGTCGCTCTGCAAGGCTGACTATTATATTGCATGAAACTTCTTTACCCGGCACTATAATTTTTTACTCTATAACATACACTGAGATTTAACATCACATGTTACATCATATGTTGTGACCCCACGAGGTGGTCTCACAAAATAATATTAATATTTTGACGTGAAAGTCGAAAATTTCAGTACAAGAAATATAAGATCTAGGCGTTGAGCTTTCTTTTGTTTCATTTCTGAGATTTCTTCAGCTGCATTCACAATCTTCCTTTCTTCTTCTCTCTACTTCGGGAGGAGAAATGGGCGAGACTCTGCCGTTTCTTCGCAATAGCTACTGGATTCTAAGGCACGGCAAGAGCATCCCGAACGAAAATGGATTTATTGTCTCTTCAATGGTAAATCTTTCTGTCTTTCTCGGATTTGAAAAAAGAACCAGCTTCAGCTTTGGGATCTCATCTCGTTTATTTGATGATGGGATATCAAATATTTGGGAAGTTTGCCTGATAAGGGGATTCGAGCAGAGAACAATCTCTTTTCTTATTCATATTTTGATTTTTTCTGCCGAAATTTTCAGCAGTTACTACTTAAATTCTACCTTTTCTATTCCTGTAATAAATTTTGGTTTGGACCGATTTGCTTAGCGATAAAATAGATCCTATTGCTTGGTTTACCATTTTGTTTGTTTTTTTTTGCAAAATGGATGAAAAATAACCTAGAAACATCGAATTATACATTATTTATGTACTTGATTTGCTGCAGAATGCTGCATTTGTGTTATATCAGTTTAATTTTGTCTCAAAATTTCTGTAAATTGAATGCAATTAATTTGAACATATTTCATATTTCTAAGATATTGAAAATAAAGTGCAAGCTTTTGCAGGAAAATGGCACGCTTGAGGGCTTTGGACTGGCTCCTGAGGGTATCCGGCAAGCAAAATTGGCTGGTGAATTGTTGGATGAGGTAACCTTTCTAGAGAAAATTGGTTAATTTACTAGAGACAATTAAAGTAGCTATTGGAGTTCTACGTCTAAAGAGTTCTATATGCTCCAAAAATATGGGATTTATTTATTCAAATTAACTTCTAGTTTGATTAATGAAGTGGGTTATTAGCATGAATGTCTCTATATTTCTCTTCATACTTTAAAAGAATGGATGTTTGTAGTACCTTGTTCATGTTTGGAAATTGAAAGCATGGTTGGATTAATAGTTAAAAGTGGAAAACACAGATTTTAAAGTTTCACTTACAAAACACAAAATTGGAGAATGGTTGTCTGGGTAGCCAGACTCAAAAAATTACTCCTCTTCTTGCCTTTTGCTCACTATATTCCACTAAATATGTTGGGATATCACGAATCTGAAGAGGTTAGGCAGTGATCCTTTGAGGCTGAAGCCCTGAGAATGCACATCTTAAAAAGCTTCTATTAGAAAAGGAAAATAGAATCAACTAATTCCCACATCAAAAGAGGAGGAAATATACTCGGCATTATATATTAGGCCCAAACTAAACATGACATATGTTAGTGCAACAAACAAATTTCACCTACAAACTTCATAGATGAGAGTACTCATAATAGATGACTCTTATAATGGGTAAGCTCTTATGGTATCATACAAAAAAGGATAAAATTATGAGTTTAAGGGCATGAGATCGGTGGGCCCTACCTTCATTGTATGGTCGGGCTGTTTGCACATGTACATATATTAATTAGTTCATAGCCTAAGCAAGTAAATCAACCCCAAAAGAATATAGTTTCATGGTGTAATGTTTTTTAACTCGTCTCTGAGAGAAGATTAGTATAAATATTCTAAATATATTCTTCTATTGATTTACATAACTTCCAATTTAAGCCATACCATACAATCTTAAGGGTCATAATTTGGGTTATTTTTTAATATACCCCTTAAGAGAAATTCTCCCATTAAATCTTATAGGGATTCCTCCTTAAAATTTTTCTCATGTTCACAATGTTAAGAATCATGACTTTTTCATAAAGTCAATTGACAATTAAACAACTTTTGCTTGAGATTATATTGATACCAACATAGCATCACTAGACATGTCACTTGAAATGAGTCTCAAAAAGTTATTGTTTGATTAATCAATTTATAGAGATGATGGAAGCAAATTACTTTTGTGCTTTAATCGTCTTTTTCTTGATTCCATTAAACCCTTTCCTTCTTTGCTTCAAGTTTTGAATCTTCGATACACATACAATACATTATCCCAATAATTTCTAAGGGATTGTCTATCTTTTCCTCAAACTTCAATCTCCTTTCTTTTTCTTTTTATTGTTTTATTCTTCATTTATCATTTGCACACTTTTGTTTTTTACCTCAATTCCTTAAGGAGCCATTTGGGATTAGTTTTGCTTTTTATTTTTTATTTTGTTTTGTTTATGTTTTTATTTTAAAAAAAATATGTTTGACTATTTGATTAAAGCATGATTATTTTTAAAACATTCAAACCATCTAATAGTTGTTTTGAAAATATGTTAATCTATTTTTGGAAAATAAAAATCAAAATCCGTAAAAAACACACTGAAACAAACTACTTTAAAAATAAAATAACAAAAAAATTAAAAAGATCCCAAACAAACTCTAAGCTTTTCATCCCCTCGAGCTCCGCCATCTTCCCACATTTCCCCTTCAAACTTCTCTTTTTATGTTTTGGGTGCCTTCCTTGTCGCATGTGCTCACCTCTTAATTCTCCCTACATTTTTATTTTTTATTTGTTTTTTCAATTACCTTAGAGGATCAACTATACTGGCATGTAATGTTTTAGAACGAAAAGTTTGGGATTTCAAAATCATGTTCGAAAGCATGATAGGATTGGTAATTTAGAGAGAAAAATCAAAGGAACAAGAATATCAAAAGATTATATCAAAATGAACTTGGGAAAACTTAAAATTATGTAAGTCCACTCCCCATTACAGAAGTACTCATCTCTTCTTCTTACTAAACCTTGACCTCATGGGATACATGCTACCCTTAATTATTGTGTTATATAATAAGGTAAACAATTGGCTTATTCCACGACACGAAGTTCTCATCTAAATTTTTTCTTTGATACTCTTAACAAAATCTTCTTAATCCTTTTATGCTTTAATTAGCGTTGTTCCTGATTTAAAGTATAAGAATCAGTCATGGTAGAGGGAATATGCATTATTTCCTAAGAGTTAAATGGATATCCCTTTACAAATGCTTAAAGGATTCTCCACATGCCCAACAACACGACATGAGTGGTGATATAATCGAGTTAATAGAGTTGTTTGAATGAGTTGGATTGAATGATTGAAATGGATTGATAAGCATTATTTAATTAAGGATTATGAAGGTTGAAGAAGCATGTTCAAGTTAGGATGATTATCATTTGTTAAGGAATTCACAAACGGTTGGGCTTGAGCGTTAGCCCCTATTATTCAATACAGAAATTTACATACATACCATACAATTCTTTTGCATTTACATATCTAACACCTAAACTTTGATATTTACATTTATAAGACTTTGGTATCATAACTTATGCATGAAAAGGTGTATTTCTCTTTTAAAAATTTGTAATAGTGGTATTTTCTTATGTGATATTAAAGATTTGAGTGTTTTATATATAAATAAGAAAGTTTAAGTGTTATAAATGCAAATTCATAAGAATTGTGTGGTATGTATGTAAATGCCCCTATTTAATAATTGATGCTTTATTTTCTATTATTTTTCTACATAAAATTTACAGAGAACTGTGCATCTACGAACAATAGAGTGCGTACAATATTTGACTTGAATATTTTTCTTTTCTCATTTCAGGAACTCAAGGCCAAAAATATATCTATAGAAACTGTTAGAATATGTTATTCCCCATTTTCTAGAACTACTCAAACAGCTAAAATAGTTGCTGATGTGCTGGGTATCTCATTTGAAAGTTTCCAGTGTAAGGTATGTTGATGATTCTGGAACTTTGCTTTCTGTTTGAAAGCTTATGTTTGTTTCTGCATCTTCTTTAAACTTCTTTTCTTTCAAATTTGTTGGTGGACACCGACCGAGTCCTTTTTTGAAGAGAATCCTTTGAAATTAGCACATTATATTTATGTTCCATCAATGATAGAATTATACACTTATCCCTTTGTTTTCAAAGTGGAAACTTTACCATAAAACCTTACTTTGTTAACCTCGTTTGTACGGCTTGTTGTTTCTATGACGGTGTTTGGTAGTATGTTATTAATAGGATTTAGCGATGGATTCAACTTAAATTCAATTAAACACCAAAAAACTGAAAATTAAATCCGACGCTTAGTTAAATCCAATTTTCTCACGTTCCCTCTATTTTTCTTAAAGTTTCGTCTCTTTCACGATGTGAATCCTGATTTTCTAAACCCAATAGTGAGGTTGATTTATTCCATCATCGCTCGTGAACTCTGCTATCACAGATAAATCTGGATTTATCGGATTTGATAAATCCTATTTAACATAATCTAAGTTGCAACCAAACGCCTCATGAGAGAAGAAGACTATTTTAACTGAACAACTTCACTAACAGCCCATGATGCTCATTGATGGGTTGGTTTTTTTTTCAAAGAAACCTATTCCCTCCGCCTTTAAATCTAAATTTGGATTTTTATTAATTTGAATATGTTAATACATAATTCATTTTTCTCTTTAGAAATCATGTATGTTAATACCCATGCTTTACAGATTAATTTAAGTTATTATGCGGTAGGTATTAATTCTGATGAGGTGACATCCAATTTGAATAGGAAATGACTGAGCTTCGGGAACGTTGCTTTGGACCACTATTTGAGCTTCTTTCACATGATAAGGTAAGCAAATTGGAGGTTGCTAGCACTTTCATTTTTAAGCACTTTATCTTAATACTTAATAAAAACACAATATTAATTGTCTATTTTTAGATTTTACCTGTATATTACCTCTTTATCTGTTTAATATTCATTGGAAATTGGATCTGCCATGCATTAGTTTTGGTTGTTTGCATAGAAGTGAAGCGGCAACTTCTCGTTCTATGAGTAGGACCCTCAAAACCTTAAATGACTTTTGCTATGGGAACCAGTTTGGTTAGTTAAATTGCTTCTTTTGTTTCTAAAAAAAAGGTGAAACAAGAGCTTCCCAATTTAGAATCGATGCCTAATAATTTTATCCAAGGCTAAAAATTTAAGAGAGATTTTATTAATTTTTATTACGAAGTCAAATTCTATTACGATGAATATTTTTCATGCTTTCTTTATGCATTTTTTATTGGTGTGTGTTTTGTTTGTGTCTAGGAAGGGTGATTTGGGAATAATAATGGAGTGGATGGGATCTTATGGAGGTGATGCTATGGTTGATTGAGAGCATCAAGTGGGGGTTTAATATTATTTTTTTTGTTTTTTTTTTAACAAATGGAATGGAAGGTGATGGAACTTGAACTCTAAATATGTTTGTCTTGGGCATGAAACTCTAAATAAGATCACTCTAGGGCAGGGAGCAGACCCAAAATTGTGAGCAATCTTACTTTTACCTGCATGCGGAGAGGAAAATTAAAACAATGGATGTAAGAGGAAGATGAGATACGAAATTTAGTGAAATAAAAATATAAATATGACCCATGGTTAACTACCAAACTTTCTATGGCCATGAAAGTCACCAAATTTTCATGGCACCCATCCACAATAACTACACCAGTCTTGTGGCACAGAGGCACTAGAATCCTTCACCTTGGCACTGAATTTCTCCTTCATCTACCGCTACTGTTGTTGGGAGCTCCCTAGAGCAAATATGGCTCCATATCTCAACACATAAATTTAGAGTTATGGTATTTTGAAGTGGTGGAGGCAATTTTGCATGATGTGGGACCTTCATTTGCAAAGGGAGTAGGGATGATAGTTATAGATTCTCAAGTTGTTTAAATTGGCCTTTTTTTAACTATTAACTGTTTTTAATGTCTGTTTGAGACAACTATAGTTTATTTAAAATTTGTTGCACAGAGCTGACTATCTGTTTGTTTTTTGCAGTTTTAAAATAATAGTGTTGTTTTTGAATAAATGATATTTCTCCAGTGTACTATACCACATCAAAACTACTACCATCACATGATCATAGCCACCAAAATATCAATAGCACACCACCACCTCCACACCATCTACCACCACATGATCATAACCACATACCACACCTCACCACACCAGCTACCACCAACATCATAGCACACCAATGTAATCCCAAAAGCACCACAAAATCGCCACCACCACCAACCAGAGCATTACAATACAACCACAAAACCTGAAGTATTTCAACTAATTTCCACATGCAATCACCACCACCACCATATTTCGGGCAACAACCAACATCACGACATAACCGCTCAAATCCATCAACCGAATAGAGCATAGAGAAGCTAAGTTTTATGAAACCAAATAGAGCACATAGAGCCCATTAAAATCATGAAATCCAACATCACAACACAATCATCAACCGAATAAAGCACAAATAATCCAAATCTATCAACTGAATAGAGCACAAACCACCTAGGAAAGTCGAAAAATCAAACATCACAGCATATTCACCCAAAAAACATCAACCAAAAATAGAGCATAGAGATCCCAAATCATCACCAAGCACAATGAAGCAAAATATTTTCAAAATCAAATGCACGAATGTGTATTGGTAGACAATATCTTGGGGTGACTGAGCAAAGGATCGAAACGGGGCCGAAGAACAGAGGGAAAAGGGAGAGGAGAATAAAGATAAGCTCATTGCAACAACCACTGGAACCAAATGGAACCAACCCTAGCCACCAGAGCCACAGAGGGGAGAGGGAGAGGAAAGGCAAGCTCACCACAACAACCACCGGAACCAGACGGAGTCATAGTCTTTGGAGCCACAGAGGGGAGAGCGGGTCGCGAGAGTGAAGGCGAGCGAGGTTCGAGCCACTGGGGTGGGGTGGGGGGAGGGGGGTTATCCCCAAATGCGGCCTCACCGCAACAACCGACAAAGCATTCGGCATTTTCCCATCGCACCACTGCAAAAATGTTGCACCAAACCACCCCTTGGAGTCAACACATTATAATTGTTAAGTTCATATTAAAAATTCTAAAAGAAAAAAGTAATCCGTTACATTTTGTCAATTATTTTTTAATTGTTATAACTCCCTTCTTTATTATGTGCTGCGTGAATATGATTATCACTCCTTTGATGAATGATTGATCCTTGATCACTATTAGATTTATAACGATAATCCCTAGACGTTATTAATTATTATTAGTTTTTATTCCCTCATTATATTTCCTATTTGCTTTATTTTGTTTTATTTCTTTTCTATTTGTTTTATTTCTTTTCTATTTGTTTTATTTCTTTTCTATTTGTTTTATTTCTTTTCTATTTGTTTTATTTCTTTTCTATTTGTTTTATTTCTTTTCTATTTGTTTTATTTCTTTTCTATTTGTTTTATTTCTTTCATTTGTTGTGTCTATTGTAATTGGGTTTAAATACCCCTTATTCTATCAATAATATCATTTTGCTCTATTCTCAAATCTCACATGGTATCAGAGCCAATGATCTAACCTTGCTGCCGGCTCTTCTCGCAGTTTTCCCTGAATGGTCTATTTCTGATTTTTTCCCTGCAGTCGTTCCTACAGTTTTTATTCTCCTACGGTATTCCTTGTCCTACCTAGCTAATTACTTCTTCCATCCCTTGTTGTTGTCTCCTTCGTAAGAATATCCTACGGTATTCCCTGTCTGTCGGGAGCAGTCTCCATCCCACGTAGCTATCCTCCGTAGCGGTTGTCTCCCGTGAGGATTATCCAACTAGTGCAGTCTCCTGTGAGGGTTATCCAACTGGTCTTGCTGCAAAATTCTACGACTGTCTCCCGCAGAGGTCCGTCATGAGGGTTATCCAGCTTAGATGCAGAAAAATATTTTCCTGCAGAGTTTTGCCATTGTTTTTTCCCGCCACCGGAATCCTTTTATGTCTCAGCTACCATCCATCACCATTGGTTGTCGGAATCACGGCGGACTCCTCCACCACCGAGCCTCCTCCTGATGGTATACTTGAGTTCACTGGAGGATTGAAACCAACCCCAATCCCTCAGCAGACCAGAGGACTGAAAAACTATATGAACTTTCTAATCACCATCCATAAACTAAGTAGATCTAATTTTCTCCAATGGTCTCAAGTGTTAACTTCGTTCATCAAATGATGCAGTAAATTCGATTATCTCACAACAATGATCCGTGAACCTCTTGACCCGCGTACGAAGCATTGGAAGTGGAGAATTTTATGGTCATGTCCAGACTTATTAACTCCATGGAAACTGCAATTGACCATTCGTATATGTTTCTTCCTTCTGCCAATGCCCTATGGACTGCAGTTTGAGACACCTACTCGGATGCAGGAACTCCAACCAGCTTTGTGAGGTTTCCAAGAAGTTTCGTGAGAAGAAACATGGATCGAATACAGTGACCCAATACTACAATGATTTGGTGGTCTTATGGATGTAATGTGATCTCTATTATGACTGCACGTGGGAATCACCGACAAATCTTTCCCTTTTTCAAAAATTCTAGAAAAAGATCGTATGTTCTAATTTTTGGCATGCCTTAACAAAAAAGTGGATGAAGTTTCGGGTCGTATCCTTGGTCGATATCCCCTTCCTTCCACTCGTGTTGTTTTCATAGAAATTAGATGTGAAGAAAGCCTCAGAATTGTCATGCTCGACACTTATACCTCTGTCGAAGCATCTGCTTTGGCCACTAACAGTATTCAACACCCGTCAAACCCTCCTCGAGCCACTTGGTCCACTTGTGATTACTGCCACAACCAACCATTCTCGTGAAAAATGTTAGAAACTTCATGGGAAACCAACATACAAATCTTCAGCCAAATCCTCCTTTGCCAAGGGTCTCACTATGGCATCAAAATCTACTATGGTAATCACCCAACTCTCTTAATAGTCAGATGGAGCAATTGATCAAACTTCTTAGAGCCAATCAAATCTCTACGGATTCATCGACCTCTGACGTTTGATAAGGTACTCTTCCTATGACTCTCACAGTTTATTTCTCCTCCAGTCCATTGATTATTGATTCAGGTGCCATGAATCACATGACTTGATGCTCTCAAGCTTTCTCGACTTACTATCCGTGCTCTAGAAAAGATACTGTCAAAAGTGTCGATGGCTTCTGTAGTTCAATTACTGGTATAGGGCCAGTTGTACTAACAACAAATCTAACTCTAGAGTCTGTTTTACTTGTTCTTCAGTTGTAATGTAATTTGTTATAGTCAGTAAGTTGACTAATGATATTAATTGTTTTGCTAATTTCACTTCTGATAGTTGTGTTTTTCAGGATTGTCATTCGGAGAGGACGATTGGAATTGCTAAGAGGGCAACCAGACTACTTTCAAGAGAAGAGCATAGAGAGTGAGGACACAACTCTCAGTTGTTGCTTATCTCGAATCATTGAATGTTTCATTATGTTGTTGCATTGTCATTTAGGTCATCATAATTTTCAATATTTAAAAAAATTGTACCTTTGATGTTTTCTAAGAAAATCTTTTTAATTTTAATTGTTAGATAGGTCAGTTAGCCAAACATCATTAGGTTCATTACCTACCCCACACTTGCACATCTTCCGTTTCTTTCTCTCTCATTCACAATGACATATAAGGACCCTCCTGCACTCCCAGCTACACCAATAAGTGGTGGTTCCTAACTTTGATTGATGACCACATTTGAATGACATGAGTCTATATTTTAAAAGACAAATCAAAGGTTGTTGCTACCTTCCAAAACTTCCACACATTCGTTTTAACTCGATTCAAAACTCTCATTCAGGTCCTTCGAACTGATAATGACCGTGAGATTTTCAACTATATTTTGGGTGAATTCTTGGTGAGTAAGGGCATCCTCTACCATAACTCGTGTACAGATACTCCTTAACAAAATGAGGTAGCTGAGAGAAAAAATCGGAACCTCCTCGATGTTGCTTGTTACATTATGTTTCAATCCAATGTTCTGAAACAATTTTGGAACTATGTCATGCTCACTGTAACCTATCTCATAAATAGAGTCCTCTATAAAATTCACAAGTTTTGAATCCCCTTAGCCGTCTTGATGTCATGTTTTTTCGCCAATCGGGTCTTCTCCACATTAGACTCTCCCATGATTTTTGGGTGCACTGTCTTTGTTCGGAACTTTGCTCCCAATCGGAGTAAACATATCTTAGATCCATAAAATATATCTTTCTTGGGTACTCTACCACTCAAAAGGATTATCTTTGCCTTGATACTACAACAAACAAAATCTTTGTGAGTGTTGATGTCTCATTCTTTTAATGTGTTTTCTATTTTTCTAGTTTGGTCCAAAGTGAGGAAGAGCTACGGTTCTTAGACATTGTCCCTTATCTTACTCCTATGGATGTTCCCCTCATTGTTCCTGTCACTGAGGAGTCCCCTATTTTGGTGAGTGCACCATCTGGTATTTCCGTTGGTCCGGTGAGTGCACTATCTCCTCCTCCCACTATTTGTATCTACACTCGACGCTCCCTACTTTGGAACCCATCACCTCTTTCCAGGACCTTGACTCTACTTTGGGCGACATCCTCAGCACGACCCCTCTGAACGAGGAGGTGAGTTCTTCGAGTAAGGTATGCAATCAGACATGCTCTCTCTATTCTATCACAAAGTATGTCTCTTTTCGTAGTTTATCGCCGACCTATAGAGCATTTGCTACTACTATGACGAATCATCAGATTCCAACTACTATTGAAGTTGCTTTTATTAATTCAGCCTAGAAAATAACTGTAATGAGGGAGATGAATGCCCTTCGGCGGAACCATAAGTGAGACGTTGTTGATCTTTCTTGGGGTTAAAAAACTATGGGATGCCAATGAATTTTCAGCATGAAGTTCAACTCTGATGTATTTTTTGAATGCAACAAGACATGATTGGTCGCTAAAGGGTACTCACAGACTTACGGAGTTGACTATGAGGAGACATTTGCTTCAGTAACTAAGTTAAACACTTTTCGGGTCCTGCTGTCCCTTCCGATGAATTTGGAGTGGTCTTTATTCCAGATAGATGTCAAGAATACATTCTTGAATGGAGAGCTTACAGAAGAGGTATACATGTATCTCCCTCCTGGTTTTGATGCTACTGCCTCCAGTGGGCAAGTGTGCAAGCTGTGAAAGTCCCTTTATGGGCTAAAACAGTCCCTAAGGGTTTGGTTCGACAAGTTAACAAAGGTGGTCGTGGGCCATTATTTTACTCAGGTTCAATTGAATCACACTGTCTTCTTTTAACATTCCTTAAATGACTAGGTAATTATCCTTATTGCCTATGCTGATGATATTGTTCTTACAGGTGACGATCTCCCGGCATTGGAGTCCTTGAAAGATATTATTTCCAAGTCATTTGAAATGAAAGACTTGGAATCTTTGGTGCTTCTTAGGAATGGAAGTGACCCGATCATCGCAGGACATTTGTCTATCTCGGCGCAAATATGTGGTTCTTCTTTAGAGAACAACATTCTTCTATGTAAACCAGTAGCTGTTCGTATGGATCCTAATGAAAGATTATTTGACATTTTCAATAATGTGCCTGTCAACAAGACTTACTACCGACGCCTTATAAGGAAATTCATCTATCTCGCCCATACTTGTCTTAACATATGTCATGCAGTTGGTATAGTGAGTCAACTCATGCATGACTCCTATGAGCACTATCTTCAAGTTGTTAGCCGGATTCTTCATTATTTAAAAAGTACATCAAGCTCGTGTTTGCTATTCTCTCGTCACACCTCTTACGCTGTTGTTGTTTATACATATGTTGATTGGGTCTGGTCGGTGCATGATTGACATTCCACGTCGAGGTATTTCTCATTTTTGTGGGGAAATCTTGTCACGTAGAAAAGCAAAAAACAATCTGTGGTTCCACGGAGCAGTGCTGAAGCTGAATTTTAGTTCATGTCCTTGAGAATCTGTGAAGACCTCTAGTTACTCGTCATGCTCCGTGAACTTCGTATGCCAACCTCCGTCCCGCTGTAGCTATTCTGTATTATAAGACTGACATCAGCATTGCTCACAATCCAGCTCAATATGATTGTACTAAATATGTGGATATTGATAAACACTTTATTAAGGAAAAGATTGAGTATGGGGAAATTTGTGTTTCTTTTGTACCCTCTAGTGATCAACTAGCTGATATCCTCACCAAAAATCTTTCTCGTCTTTTGTTCGATGAATTCAAATCCAAATTTAACATGACTGGCATCTATGCTTCAACTTGAGGGAGAGTATTAGATTTATAACGACAATCCCTAACCGTCATTAGTTATTATTAGCTTTTATTCCCTCATTATGTATTTATTATTTGATTTATTTTGTTTTATTTCTTTTCTCTTTGTTTTATTTTGTTTTATTTCTTTCCTTTGTTGTGTGTATTGTAATTGGATTTAAATATCCCTTCTTGTATCGAGAATATAATCCTTCTCTATTCTAAAATCTCACAACCACCAAAAAATTTAATATTTGGTGCATGATTTTATGTTCATGATTATCACATTTTTTATATATTCTTCTGAATCTTTGAATTTTGGCTCCTTGCACTAAACATCAACTAGTTAGATAAAAGTGAAAAATACAATTGAAAGAACAAATACTTGTATCTTGTATTTATCATGCACTAGTGGATTTTAATCTCTTTCTATGGCCGTTTTCGTATGTTGATCTTGCAAATCACATTTTTATAAGCTTCTCTTTGTTTTATTTCTTTTAAGGAGAACTTTCAAATAGGGAAATTATTTTTTATTACACTTTGATATGAAATCCTTGTTTAATGAGCCACCCATTGTGATTTATCCTCACAAATTCAGGAACTATTTAAGAATTCATTGCAACAGATGATAATATTATAATTTATCTAATTTTTAATGTCTAATTTATAAATATTGACTTACAGTATGCAGAAATATGGGTCCTTGATGAGGAGGATCCTTTTACATCAGTTGAGGGTGCAGAATCTGTTGCAGAAGTTTGTTCTAGACTTTCTATTGCTTTGACGAGAATGGAAGCAGAATATGAAGGGTACTTTTTCACCATTGTTACAAAGTTTTCTCAGTGGTCAGCATGCTTCTTCCCATGCTTCATATTTGAATGAAAGTTAGCCTATTTTTTTCACTAGCCTTTAAAAGAAAAGCATAAAACTAAGTTAAGTGTTGCTGAGATAAGTAGCTTGACACTTAGAAATAAAATGTGAAACAAATGTATCCGTGAAAGAATTGGTGTAGCTCCAGTGGCATACAAGATTAGAGAGAGTCGTCTTAGATGGTTTGGTCACATTAAACGTCGACCATCTGATGTTCCGATTTGGAGAATAGATATTTAGATTCGACTTATGTTAAGAAAGATAGAGGTGGTCTTATAAAAACTTGGGCATATTGTATTAAAAATGATCTTAATTTATTAGAATTAAATAAAAAAATGACACTCAATAAGACACAATGAAGAAGAAAGATTCATGTAGCCGACCCGCTTAGTGGGATAAAGGCTTGTTGTTGTTGTTGTTGTAGTCTATCAATGGAAACTCATATCGCATTTAATATATGGAGCATTTACTTGCATAATGAAAAATTCTTATGGATTTACATATTCATACCTAAACTTTCGTATTTATATACATAGCACTCAAATTTTAATATCACATAAGAAATTGCACTATCTCCACTTTTTAAAAGCGAAATATACATTTCCATGCATAAATTTAGAGCGCCAAAATGCTATATATGTATATATTAAAGTTTAGGTGCGAGATGTTTAAACATGTAAGAATTGTGTGCTATGTATTTATGTATCTAACGCCTATACTTTTATGCGTACCCCTCAAACCTTCAACATCATATCAAAAACACTATCACTTCATTTTTTTTTTAGAAGTAAATTACACCTTTTTATGTATTAAGTGTAAATATTAAACTTTGGGTGCTAGATATCTAAATACATAAGAATTGCATGGTATGCATGCAAATTTCCCAAACAAATGCATTTGTGATTTTTAGGATACTATTTCACACAGTTTATATTCTCCTGCTCTCCTTTCCTGTTTCCACTGCTCAAATTAATCATATTTATCTGTTCTCCTAGATGCAACATTGTAGTTGTCAGCCATGGCGATCCTCTCCAGATTTTCCAAGCTATACTCTGTGCAGCAAAAGAAAACTCATCTTCAGAAGCAGGAGACATTTGTTCAAGAATAGAGCAGGCAATGACCCATCCAGTCTTATCCCAACACCGAAAGTTTGCCTTGCTCACAGCAGAACTACGACAGATAAAATAAAGAAAATTTACATATTTACCATTCAATTCCTATGTAATTTACATATTTATTGTTTAAACTTCAATTTTTACATGCATACTGCTTTACCTATGAATGAAATGGGACTTTTCACTTCTTAAATGTTAAAACGGTGGTATTTTCATGTGATACGAGAGATTTGGGTGGTATCCATGTAAAATGTATAATTTAGGAGTTAGATATGTTAAATTATAGGATTTTGGTGGTATGTATGTAAATGCCCCGGATATTTCTGTTAAAATTTCCGTTAAACAGAGAGGCTGAAAGCCGCTGAGCTGCACAATGACATAGATATTAATCAGCAATTATCACTGTTTGTGGAAATGGAATTATTTTTGTTTGATGCGTTTATAATTATATTTTATTCGGTTCTTGCAAATTTTTTGTATAATTGGGTTTGAGATAAAAAAAATTAATATTTTTAATGATGAAAAAATATTGCATCAGGACTCCGCACGTAGAGTTACATGCGGAGTACAATGAAATCACGCCACGTGGAGGTGACAGAAAAAAAAATCGGTCCGGTAACATAGGGGAATATTTTCTCCGTGTTATTCTGTATTATTAGATGTTATTGTATGTTATTCACGTATTATTGTGTTATAAGAATATTCTCGGTATTATAATAACACAATTAGACATCAATAACATTTGAATAAAACAAAATAACACCTAAATAATACACAATAACACCTGAATTTCAAGGGAAGAATATCCCTTGTGTTACCAGACATATTTTATTTTATTTTTATCACCGTCACGTGACGTGATTTCATTGGACTCCGCATCTAACTCTACGTGTGTGACTAAACTTACATTTGTGCCATGATTGTTATTATTATTATTTTGTGGGAAGATTTGCATGCATACCTAAGTTTAGATGTATTTACATCTCTAACAACAAAATTTAAAGTTTACATCTTTAGTAACTCCTCTGGTGACATTGGTGACATGATCAAGTACTTATGTCGCTGGCACACAATTGCATTTGGCCACCATGTCCTCTACATCTATGTGCATCCTCGCCCAATAAAGCTTTGTCTCTAGATGACTCTAGGTCTTCTATACCCTTGAGTGTCACTTGATCATACTATCATGAAACTTTAGTAATAATTTGGGAATATATTCCGACGCCTTGGCTAGCACAAATCACCATTGGTAAAGCAGTTATTGTCTCCTCAACACATATCCTGGATGTTTGTTTGGATCCTGTAGTAACTAGGCCCATATCTTTCTCAGCTTCTCTTCACATTTGCTCTTCCGTCTCAAGGCTTCCCAATCTAGTACCAAGGGTATTGATAGGACCGTTAGTTGGGGTTCCTCCACCTTTCTCGACAGTGCGTTGGTTGTCTTGGTCTCTAATCCTGGCTGATACTGAATGTTAAAACCATACCACAAAAGCTTGGATAGCCCTCTGATGCTCCTCAATCACTATATGCTACTCAAGAAGATACTTTAAACTCTTATGATCTATCTTGACTAGAAAATATCATCCCAATAGGTAGGGCTGCCACTTCTGAATGACCAAGAAAATTCCCGCTCATATACTAATTTGAGCCTCACTCTGGCCGTAAGAACTTGGTTGATGTAGGCAATCAACTGCTGGTGCTACATGAACATTGCTCCCAACCCGTATCCTAACACATTCATTTCTACCATCAATGTCTTACTGAAATCAAGAAGTGCTAATGTCAGGATGTTGGTCATGGCTCTCTTCAAATGTTCAACCTCTGTGTTGTTGCTTTCCCCACTTGAAATTGTCTTTCTTCAACTCCTCCGTCAGTGGCCATACTATCGTGTCATATTCTCTCACAAACTTTTGGTAATAGCCGACTCCTTCAACTCCTTGGTAAGGGTTAATCCACCGTAGCCTCAATCTTGGACTGATCCATTGTTACTCTCATTCTGGTCATCACATGTCCTAGTTACTCTACCTGTAATTGTGCAAAGGAACATTTCTGCAAGTTGGCATACAACTAGTGCTCCCTCAACATCTTAAGGACTTCTCTCAGTTGCTACACATGCTCTGTCTCTGTATGACTGTAAACCAAAATATCATCAAAGAAGATCAGGATAAATTTTAGGAGGTTAGGTTGTAAAACCCTATTCATGAGGAACTGAAATGTGGTTGGGGTGCTGGTGAGGCCAAATGACATCACCAATAACTCATAATGTCTTTCATGTGTTCTGGACGCTGTCTTGTGCACATCCTCTAGATTCATCATGATCTAGTGGTATCTCAACTTAATATCAATTTTTTTGAGAAAATGTCTGCCACATAAAACCCATCCAATAACTCATTAATCATAGGAATAGGAAACTTTTCCAACATCGTTTCCTTGTTCAAAGCCTGGTAGTCCATGCAGAATTTTCAACTATAATCTTTTTTATTCATCAACAGGATTGGAAAAAAGGCTCACACTAAGTTTAATAAGCCTAACCTGGAGCATCTTTCGGATAAACTTCTATGTCCCATTCTTTTGAATCTGTGAGTACTTGTATGATCTGAAACTAATAAGGGGAAACACCCTCCTTCTGAATCTAAGAGTACATGTGCTCATGCTCCTTTGGAGGAGGTAACCCGCTTCGCTTTTGGAAAACGTCTGTAAACTGCTGTAAGAGTTGTTGGACCCTTTTGAGAAACTCTACCAACTCTGAATCTTGAATCTCAAATCTCCTCCATGCTCTGGAACTCCACTAATTAGCCTAACCCTGCTCCTCGTATCGACTTGACCATGGTTTAAGCGAGACCATAGTTTCACTTAAACTAACATCTCCTTACCTTCCCACCCTCTGCTTGGAACTCCATCGCCAAGGACTTTCAATCCACCTTCTTCTCTCCAAGCGCCCACAACCACGTTATCCTAAAATCAAATATGTGCTACTTAAATCTAAGGGAAGCTAATCCTCCACTACCTGTTGGCCATGTAGTGTCAAATCCAACCCCTTGCAAATTCCCCAACTTTTCTCCACTTTCCTTGTCCACATCATGAAGTCAAAGACCAGTTCCAACCCTAGCTTCTTCCAGACCTAATTTGAAATAAAGTTATTAGTGGCCACGTTGTCCACTAACATCATAATCGGATGTTTCCTGATCCACCCTCTCACCTTCATGGTTTGATTCAGGGCAAATCCCACCACCGAATTGAGGGACACCTCTGCTACATCCAAATGAAGATGCTTCTCTTCCACTAATTCTTCTTCCAATTCATAAATCTCTGCCTTCTCCTTTTGAACTAAGAGGATTTGAAGGGCGCGCTCCTTGTAACAGTGGCTTGTGGCATATTTTTATCACAACTATAACATAATCCTCTTACTCTTTTATCTTGTACTTTTGCATCAGTGACGCTTGAAATTACCCCCATTACGGGTCCCCAAATTCTTCTTTTTTAGCATCACTTTCAAAAATAACACTTTCATGACTGTCCAGATGCTCTTGTAGAATCCTCCGGTGTTGCCGCCTTTGTTGGACTTTTTCACCTATTACTTATTTTCTATCATCTAGGCAAGCTCCATCAATTCTCTCAATCCACGCTGTCTCAAGGGTTGGATGGCTGCTAGTATGTTGAGCTTAATGTTTTTTGAGAAACTCCCTTCTGGTTATGTTGCAGAAATACCATGAAATCAACTTAAGGGACAATAAATCTACAAATCTACAGAGACATAAAAGAAGATGTCTCCCCAATACCATGACATATGTAGAAATAGATTTGGCCATCCTAAGAAAACCCTAAGAGAGAGACTATTCAGAGTTGAATTCATAAATACAATGAAAACTATACAAAGGGGATTATGTCACACCCGTAACTCAACCAGTCCAAGCATGAATGCTAGAGCAACAGGCAAGCAGCCCGCCAATCTCATCCAAGCACTGAACGACTCAACATCTGGATGATCCCATGAGCAACGAAGCCAGCAAATAGGAGGGGTCCATGAGGGTGTTAATCACGTAATCTAGGAGAAGAAATTACAGGATCATGGGGGAAAAGTTTGGAGGGAAAAGTTTGGAGTGCAATGGGAGGATTATAGTAAGGGGATTGATTTAGGGGTTTAAAGTAGATCATCATTATATATTATTTATTTTCCTTTGATTTTCATATGAGCGACCCCCGTTTAAGCTTTTTTCCATATATCTCATCTTTGTTTGCTTGCTAATTTTAGTTTTGGAAGTGTATCAAATTGGTATCAGAGGAAGATCTTGAAAGGGATGGCAGCAAGGAAAGTGGATGCCCTGGAAGAGAAGTTGGGCAAATTAGATAAAAAATGGAAGAGATATTTGCCACCATAGAGAACAAATTTTCTTCCATTGAGAGTCAAATGGAAGATGGATTCAAGAGCATAGAAGAAATGAGGGAGATGATGAAAAAGTTCATGTAGATGCAAACTAAGGCCAAGCGGATCGCTCCAGTTGCAAACCCTAAGAGATTAGGGAATCGTTGGTCAGGTCAAAATGGAAGGAGATTGAATGCGAGGACAACAAGGATGACATCATCTACCATCAAGAGAGTCCCCCTAGGACTCTAAAAGGAGGGGAGGTTGAGGCTTTTGATGGAGGGGGATGGGCTTGAATATTTGAGGAGGGTTGGTATAAGAGGCATGGAAAGCACAAAGGAGGAAGGAAAGAATCGAGAGTTGGGTATGCCTATGACCGGAGGAAGGAGTTTCACCCTAGATACATGGTGGGAAATACCAGAGGAAGAGGAAGAGGAAGTTGGGGTGGAGATGCAAGGGTTAGAAACTAAAGATGCAAATCATCGAAGGAGAATATGCACAATGGGTTTGTGTATCCGGTGTAGCGATACTTTGCAATCAATGGATTAATTGAGGAAGAGAAACTCATGGCAGTGGGATTATGTTTGGATGGAGAGGCTTAGTGTGGTTTCTGTGGATGGAGGCAAGGTATCTGATGCACTCATGGGAGGAGTTTTAAGGATTACTTGTTGGAGCATTTTCAAGCCATTCGGGAAGAAGATCTATATGAGCAATTCTATGCTCTGACTTAGGAAGGTACGATTATGAAATACTGGGAGAAGTTCGAGTTCTAGTCAGGAAGATTAATCAAGGATTAAGTCTAGCCAAACTTAGGCTTAAAAATAAAGCTTAAGTCAAAATTAATTTATACTTCATTAAAGTTTAATTAAGTTAAACTTGATGTAACCCAGAGGTTTAACTTGGATTAATTCAGCTTGAGATGGTTTGTTCTTAAGGCATCCAACTTGATTTTATTTGGCTCATATTAAGTCAAATAAAATCAACTAAAATTAGTTTGATTTTATTCAAACTAAGCCTGGGTCAATC